CGCACACACACAAAAAAAAAAAAAATTTAGAAAACTGCAATGTGAAGCTGTAGGCAGCAGCAGGCCCGCCAACCCCCCCCCCCCCCCCCCCCCGGTACAATCATAAATTCTCTCTTTTTCACTTTTGCTTTTCTAAAAAACAACAACAAGGTATAAAATGTTTTTGTTTTTTTTAAATGCAGCTTTGTTGCCTTTGAACAGAGCCATGCTAGCTGTTTCCCAACGTAATGCTAAGCTTAGCTAACCTGCTGCTGGCTACAGCTTCACATTGCAGTGGTATCAAACTTCCCATCAACTCCCAAACTCCCAACAAGAATTATTTTGTATTCCAAATGTGTCTGTGTCTTTAATAGGTTTTATTTTGTCATTATCAGCAAGAATGCTGCAGGTCTTGTCTTTTTAGAGAACAGAAAAGTCACGACCTTTGTAGTCACTTTCAATGATGGACTGGAAAGCCATGAGCTCCACATCTACGTCAGCCGTGCGATTGGCATTCTCATAGTCAGAATCTGTGGAAACAAACAGGCTGAACTGTCGGAGCCATAAACATTCATATTCACACCCCCCAACCATGACATCCAGGGCTGGGATCAGATCCCCTAAATTCAATCAATTTAAGTTGAATCAAGACATCAAACAATTCCATTTCTGCAACTGCAAGACCTTCTAAACTCTCAACTTCCATTCCGCAGTGTTTTACTGCACACCTGCTCTTTTTTATTTTATTCAATGAAACTGAAATTAAGCGTGTCTTTCGCAACTAAAGGCATGGAAATTGATCTGTCCACAAGCCAGCTAGTTCTGGCCCATCAGACACACACCCCTGCAGGTGTTTGCTTACTTTGGACTCGGTTGTGAAGGTTCCTCTCTCTTTTCACAGGCTCCTTGGACATGATCTCAAACAGGTTGTTGGGGTGGGAGATGATCTGTGTATAGATTTCCAATATTATCAGCGCTCATCAGTGTGCTGTTCAAAACGGATGCATTGTGACTTATATGTGGAATGCTGTCATTAAACGTGGACATGTGAAGTGATGGCTGACATTGTTCCAGATGAACTCCACTAGGGGGCGAGCCAGCAAGAAGGCATCAGTGATCTTCTTCCCGTCCAGATCAGGGAAGACAGTGGACAAGCCCGAGCCAACGTTATGCACCACCATGTCCTCAAGAGTCAAACAATTGCAGTGATTTTATTTATTTTACGCTTCATTTCATTCATTAGGTGAGGTTAGGGATGTAACTCAAAAGGCTTACCTGTCTGAAGACAATGTTAAAGGGGAAGACCTCAAAGAAGAAGTCTGAAGTCATGGGCAGAATTTCTTGCTCCTCCTCATCCTCCTTCATGATGTAGCGATAGGCTGAGTTGTCAAAGTTCAGCCTACACAAACACACACAGATCAATATGTTTAGTGAAGTATAAACTGTGGTGGAAGAAGTATTCTGTTCTTTTACTTCAGTTAAAGTTCCAACACAACACGGTAAGAAATACTCTGCTGCAAGTAAACTTGCATTAAAAGTACACAAGCATTATCAGGAAATTGTGTATTCATTCTTCAGTGACTGATATTATCTCTCATAATGTGTGTGTGTGTGTGTGTGTGTGTGTGTGTGTGTGTGTGTGTGTGTACCTCATTGTGACGTGGGAGTAGTCTCCGACCAACTGCTCAGACAGCACCTCCACATGGATGTCGGTGTCGTAGAACTGTTTCCCCATCTGCCTCAGCTGACCCATGGCGTAGTGCAGATAGCCTTTGCGCTTACTCCTGCCGGTCACAGAGAGAGACAATTGAATTCAATATCAGTCTGAAAGAAATGAATCACACAGCCTTCTCTCTCTGTTTGCCCTGTTCTTTGTGTCTGATGTCTGATAGTCTATCAATCTCCCTCCTCCTCCTGGTCTCAGACCTGTAGTGGAGGGTGACTCCAGTGGCGGACTCCTCCTGGCAGAAGAAGGTTGGAGGCTGCACTTTGGGGTAGCTGAAGCGCAGGTACTCGTGGAGATTATCAAGGCCATTGACAAAGTCACGAACATGACGGCCCAGCACCTGAAGGCAGAGACAGAGAGTGACAGCCGGGTCATATCTTAGAAAGTTACTCTGTATACATTTATATTACACTACTTTTAAGGAGACGCTCCACTAATTTAATACCATCAGGGTTATTTTGGCTTGCGCTTGAGGACAAAAAAGCTATGAAGGAGGAGCATTTTCGAAGCTTGAGCCATGCAATTGAAGGCAGATCAGGATATCTTGCCCTTTGCTGCTGCCATTGTGACCACTCTTGACTGATTTCTACATGAGTTATATATTCCTTCACACAATACGATATATGAGACACTAAAAAAAAGAATTTCACCGGCACAATAGCAGTTTTAAGGATACATAGCTCACTGGGTAGTTAATAATATTCTCACACATCGACCAAAAGACGACACAGCTCTGACAGTTTTGAGTCTGAGATCTCTTTTTTTCACCTTGAGGATCCTGTCATAGCCGTACTTCCCAACAAAGCCCAGGAAGTAGACACCCCAGGAGTTCATCAGCTCGTTGTAGGGCGTGCCTGTCACTCCACTGGCAGCCTTTGCAATACGGGGAATCACACTCTCACTATACACCTGCAGACACACACACACACACACACACATATATATAGACCTTAAATATAAAAGTATTTCTCTTGACATCAGGACTACGAAGCTCAGACAGAGTGACAAAAACTGCAGGCAGATTGACTTGGATTCACACAGACAGCGCGGCCTTCACACATATATTACCATTCAGTGCACACACGCAGGATGATATTATTCATCTCAGAAACCATACCTGGTGGGTGACAAAAGAGTGTAACCTGACATCTGCTCTCTCTCTGACCAGCTTCCACACATCATCTCCGTATGACTCTTTGATGAAGTCGTGAAGACTCTCACACAGCAGCCCGTACATTCTGTCTCTCTGGATTGGAGCTCAAACCGAGCAAGACGGTTCCCCAACTGATTGACTTCCAACAGCCCTCCCAAAGGCCCCTGCAAGCGAGTAAGAGAAGTTCAGAACGATGACTCTGTCAGTGCTGCAAGCTGAATTTCAATGCATTTAGCTTTCAGCGTGAAGCTATAAAAGCCATAAACTGACTATTCTTGCCTATCAACACTATCTGTGGAGTTTTGAACTCCCTCAGACAAGCTAGCCAGTTAAGGTTTCATCTGAAGGCCAACAGGGCAAACGGTTTTGAAGGTGCCATAGTCACACAAGCCCTTGAGTCTGAATGGGCCTCTTTTGTTCTTGTGTCAGCTTGTCAGCGCCTGGTGGCTGTGCACCACTCTCTATGTGACATGAACACACTGCACCTCTCAAACACAGATGACACCAGTCCCAAGAACTTGTCCCGTTTTCATAATCTTGTTACTGTCCTTTTCAAGAAAAATCACTGAATTATCAATACACCGCTGTCATAACACCCCTTATTTGTAAAGGATTGCAATAAGAAATAGGTTGGAATAAAATGGAAGTGACAGATTGATTCGAAACACTAAGGCTCAGTGTGCTACATTGCCACACAAAAGCTTTTTACATGTTTAAAGGAGGCTGCTATCCTCCTGTGGTTTCTTTTTATAAAGCAAATTTTACTTAACCAACACTCTTCAATAAACCTTTAATGGCCAGCAACTATTCAACTTCTATTGTGTGTCTGAAGATTTATTTCTGGGACTCAGGATGACTCCACATTTTCTTTCAGATGCCGGGAGGCTTCCCACTGGGGGGGATAGTGGTGGTGCTGTGGAGCAGTGCAGGTGCAAAATCAATATCCAATCTCAACAGGGATAAGGAAAATGTTTTTTTTTTCCTTCCAGGCTTCTGCTGAGCTCAATGAATCAATTTGTGGGGGGGGAAGCTGCTCGATAAAGACTAACCTGACTTCAAAAAGGCCAACTAAATAGAAAGTTAAAGGGCATTTTTCTAGTGTCATGCAAAATGTGAGTTCATGCAGAATTCATAACTCTTAGCAGTTGGTAACCCAAGGAACATACGATAAGAAAATAGCAAACACACTGAGTTATTTATTGCCATATTTTACACTGCGGAATAACTGAGGTATGTAGACCAAAAACTCTCACCAGTGTGAAGGAAAAGGGAGTCGAAGGTTTAACCTTTGACCCTAAACTTCTAAACCGAATCACATCGTCTGATCGCAGTGACCTCATCAATTTCACAGCAGCGCTTGTAAAACTGTGTGGAAAACACATGGCGGGTGTGTTTGAAAGCAACTAAGCATATATGTGGCAGGGTAGTTACAAAGTGCTTCACAGAAGGGGGGAATAGACATTGTGTTTGTGTGTGTCTATGTTTACACTTGAGAGCTTGGCCTCTTGGCCTCTCTGAGAGCTCAGTGTCCCTGTCTGGACAGCAGCTGTTATCACACACACACACACACACACAGAGGGGATCAGATTTTTATTATTAAAGTGGCGCGAGGTCAGGATGTAAATCTTTATACTTGCCTCTTCCCCGTTAATCGCCCTTTATGGCCCCCCCTAAAAACAACTCCCTCCATCCATCCTCACTTTCACATCCCTCTGCTAAAATAACCCATGAGGTAAGCACCCGAGGCATCCCGAGGTGGGTTTCATACCGGCTGCTCCTCCTCTGAAGAGTCCTAGTGGAGTGTGGAGGCATCCCAGCTCCAGTACGGGATAAACCACACGACCATCCAGACCAGCTCCAACACTCGGCATACAGGCCGGCCGGAGACACAGGTAAGGGCCGAGGAGACGGGAGTGCACGCTTTTAAAAATAGTCAAAATAAGCAGTGACAGAAGGCGCTGCTTCCAATCTGACTGAAAAGAGTATAAAGTGTGGAAGCTTCCAGGTCCTTAAATGAAATGTATATACATTTATATGATGCTGGAGAGACAACTGAGACAGTTTTCATATTTAAACATGCACTTGGGTTTTACTGCAATGTGACACATGTTTCTAGTTAATCATGAACCTAATGGGAAAAAAGACAATTCACATAAGTAGCAAATATGAATTTTAACTTTAGAAACTTAATCAAGATAACAGCTAAGGAGTTTTCTGGACCCTTGAAGTCGAAGCACATGACCGGAGTAATTTAGTCATGCCCTAAATATAACTTATAATTTAGGACTTGTATTTTTAGTCCTAAAAGAGATTTGCAGTGGTAAATGATATATTAATTAAAGGTGGTATATTAAACTAGGAGAATAAAAACAAACAAAAATCCTGAACAATAATTATTCACATGTCCATTAGAGGAAGATGATGATGATGATGATGCAGTCAGGCCTGGATGACGTGACTAAGCAGAGGATGTTGCAGGCTCAGGCTCTGTGTAAGGAGGCCAGGGGAGGTAAGTGCTGATGGGTTGAGATGCATTGATTTGATATCAGATTCCAGTCTGTGTCAGTACCGAACTCACATACACATAATATTTAGAACTAAACAAACGAACGTGGTAGTTTACATACTGGTTAACATATCTTTAACAGATCGGTATGCTCCCGTGTGTATACGTTCAAACTGCCATAGTGTGTGATCGCAAGCCGAGGCTGTCAGATGAGCCAAACATCAAATGTCTGGGCACACATACGATGCTGTACTGTACATGCAAACCCCAGGAGTGCCAGTGTGCTGTTGAAATTCTCCAAACATTTGTGCAGGGACCATCCCAGTTTGTTTTCTAACGCTGTCCTCCAGCTAGGCTTTGAAAACCAAGTCCCCTAAACTCAGCAGAATGTGACTCCCACCGCTGAATTTTTTACGCAGGCCGATCAAAGGCAGCTCCTCAAGGGTGGCACATGCTCAGGCTTTCCCTTACACTTTTTATGTGTGAAAAAGAGTGCCATCCGCTCTTCCATGAGTCTTTCATCCAAAGATTTTATTTTTATGCCATGTTACCCATGCAACCCTGGTCCACAACAAACATTACACACCCCTTGACATCCTCTCGAGGCTATTTCAGGCACTCCGCCGCGCCATGATACAACACGAGAAGAGACCCTGAGCTGTGTGGATACCAACTTAGTGATGCTGTACACGTTTTTTGTTTTTTTTAATCAGTGCCCCTCAGCTGTTTAAAGTCGACAGAAACAGGAAGATCAGAGACATTAGGATTTGCCAAGGGTCCTTATTAGTCTGTGTTTTTCCTTCTCTTTCCAAATGTCTGGAAGTTGCTGTTATCATAGATATTGCCTTTGCACTAACAACTAAATGTCATGATGTATTTATGCAGGGCTGGAACCACCTAACCTGATGCCATGCCACACAGCTTAAGAACCTGCGGCAAACAGATTTCTGTACTCTGATCCTGCCATTTTGAAAATGCATAAGGATGTTCAATTTAATGACTTATTAAAGCACCTCCATTTGTCTGTGGTGTTGTGCCAGAGGGTCTGAACCTCGGGAAGAAGATCAGCATCCCAAAGGACGTGATGATGGAGGAGCTCAACCTGCCATCTAATCGAGGCTCTCGCATGTTTCAGGAGAGACAGAAGAGGGTGGAGAGGTTCACACTGGAGAACATCGCTAACGACGCCTACAACACCAACACTGTAAGGAACTGAGAGAAGGCACACATAGCACACAATGACTCCTATCCACTGACCTTACTGTAACCTACACCCCCACAGTAACGTACCTGTGTTTCTGACCTCACAATTTATTTTAGCAACTGAAAATCGGCCCTCTTTGTCGAAATTCTACACGCAAAAACATAAACACACAATGCAAATTATCTTATATCTCTTGCAAAAGCTAACACGTCAAGTCAAAACTATATGAACTCTTCTTAAAATGGAATGTTTGCTTTAGCTATTTCCACATGAAAACACTCATGTTTAGTATAACTCACTATTTTCTGGAGTTTTTTTTGAATTTTCATTTGTAGCATGCTGTAAATATAGATAATGAACACATGTAATTTGTTCATTCTCATTACTCATATATTCACAACAGTATCAGTCATAATTATACTTTTAATGAAGATGACATAAACATAGTTATCGTATTGTAAATTGCCATCCCTTGTTGAGCAGACCACAGAGCACACCTGAATCCTATTTATAGTGTTCAAGCGCTGATTGCTAAGTGATCTAATAAGTTACAGGTGTTTTCACCGGAGCATCCTAGGTGCAGCTGATCGATAATTGAGTGTGGCATTTCACTGGCAAAACAACACACACATACCTTTAATTTTGAAATGATGTGAGTAATGTAGATAACCATATACCTGGTCAATAGACACCAGCAAATCAGACAGGATGTTAATCAGACAGGAAAAGAAAGAATCCAGAGTGTCGCTCTCTGAGCACAAATATAAATTGCACAAATGTGAAATTATTCATTTTACATTTCTCCTATACCCAACATATGCACTTTAACATTTTCATACTTATATTACATGTATTCATTTATTTTCATCATACAAATTGTATCCTTTATGTTTTATGTTTTGAGTATGTGACAAATAAATTGTTCAATCTATACATCTAGTTGTATCTGTTTCCCAGGTCCATCCAGAGGCCTTTCTTCCCCCACACATCTTCGCTCAGCCACAGGGAGAAAAAGAGAACCAGGCTTTCTCCATCCCTGGTAAGCATAGCCTGGTCATGAACCTCCAGAAGACTGTAGCAAAGAAGGGCAGTCCAGATGTGCTCGCTCCAGGTAAATCTTAAGAGATGGTGGCGGGAAGCCACAGACTGCCACAATGCATGGACACTGTGTCTCACTTTCATCCGATAGTGTTTACGTTTCATGAGAAAGCTGTATTGAGCAAATAAATTAGTTTTCTTACCGTCAGTGCCAGGAGAGTTGGCAGCTTGCAGAAAGTGGTTATGTGATCATCTTTTGTAAGTGCTGTTGTGTATTGGTCCTGACAGAAGGCACTGCTTATACAATCTGACTGACAGTGAGCTAAGCTCTGTTTATTATCGGGGATTCACACCGAGATCTAATTACTGTAGGTTCTGTTGTTGACAGGAGTGACATCAAAGAGATTTTGCTAAATATTAGATCTGTTTGTTCTCTGCTTGGGCTTGCTTTTTTTGTATTATTTAATGGGTTTAGTCATTAATTTCCAGGAATAAAAGACTATCCATTTTTCTGAACAAAGGGGGGTCTTTTAAGCTTACACTGAATTTAAAAGAAACCTCAAAATGTAACAAAGCTTTCACTTTACCCATAGCTGTATGTCACTATTAATTAATGACATTCGACTTGATTCTGTCAGGATATTCTGGCCCCCTGAAGGATATTCCTCATGAGAAATTCAACACAACAGTCATCCCCAAATCCTACAGCTCCCCATGGAGCCAATCCTTGGGAGACAACATAGAGCTCCTGGAAGCCCTCCGCACCCAGCTGCCCCAGCTCCCACAAAGACAACAGCCTTCCAACTACAGGAGCTTCAACAGGTACATCTGCCTGTCCACATCTGCTGCTGCTGCAAACTTCACTCACATAAATCCTGATTTGTTAAACCCTGGTCAGCTGGAAGCACAGGTGACCCATCTTCAAATAGACCCAGAAATGACCTCACCACGTAATCCATCACAATCAGCACTTCCCTCGGCTGCACTCCATGTTTCCAGTTTGAAAATGAATATCTGGCTTGCACCTCCTTGCAGTGTGGCTGTGTGATGGCTATTTTGAACACCGGCTCTTGAAAGATGATCCACTTGGGGGATGCTAGCTTTTAATACCACCCCACAAGACATATTACGCACGGAAGGGAATCAATTTTCTTGTGGCACACAAGGAATTGCGTCACACAAGCGAGGCAGTACAAAGGTTAAGCTTGGGCAGATGGAGAATATATGAAAGACAAACTCAGACGTTACTCAATTACAGCTGTCAATCACTGTTTTCTGCCAGCCAGTCTGAACCTGTCGAGGGATCCGTTTACGCCCTTCAGATAATTATAAAATTGTGAAGCCTTAATTAAACCTCAACTGTCAGAGCAGCCTCGGGTCATATTCTGCAAACACCATGAGATAACGCATTCAGCTCTAAGTGACAACTCCTCTCTGTCCCTCAGGTCTGCCATGCCATTCTGCGGAGCTGCGGTCAGCGAGAGGGTGATCCCAGCGATTGGCTTTGAGGCAGTGGAATCCCAGAAGCTGCCCGACATCGCTCTGGGCCGCATGTGTCCACGGACCAACTTCAACAGAGCACCCAGGGGATGGGGTATTGATTACAACCCTGAATCTAATGAACTATGAAAAGGGGGCTGATCCACTAAAGAACCGACCCTATGCTCGCTGCTCTCTTCCAACAAAGATAATCCCTCTGCAGAAAGGAGAGAAAACCACTCCTGCATGATAGTTAAAGTGGTTTGCTACTGCTGAGAGGTTTGACCAGATGAGCTAAACTCCAAAGACTGCTGAATCATTTCATTAGCGCAGTAGAGGCCAACACAGTGCTGTCACAGGTTGAACAGCTTGGTTTCCTTGTTATCCGTAGCAGTACCTGATCCCGTCAATGTCAATACCTGACACCCTTCTCTTCCAACTCCCAGTCTTCATCTGATAAGTGTCACACTGACTTTACATCTTTCCCCCATTTGTCTCCTGTTATGTGTGAGAGCAATAGGAGATAACCCTGCCCTTAAACAACACAATTAGTAATGACAAATATGTACGCTGCAATGATCAATGACAAAATTGCATCATTTTAATGATGAGTAAAAAGAACATTCAAAGAAAGCCTTACAATAAACAAAGTCATTATGCTGTAGGATATTAAGATTGTGCCAAATAAAAAAGAAACTGAAAATGAACAAGTTTAAAAATGCTGCTCAGGATTCTTATGAGACATGGGTGACAATGAGACAAATACAGGTTTAACTGACAGTATACCTTTCTATATGTACAACGCTCCAGCCACAGGAGCCTTCAAAAACTATATGGCTCTGATCACATTGGTCAGTACTCTCAAGTCTGCCGAAGCCACTCTGGTACATTTTAACTGCGACAAGTGACAAAGTCGTCTTGTGATATCTTGGTTCTCGTCTCTCCGGACACTGATGGTGCTGTTTCATTTCACTCACTGCATGTGGCCTAATTAAATCAATGTTATCCAGTCGGACATAACTGTTTTCTCCCAGAAGTAGTCTGCCGGTTTCAGGCCCACTGAAAGCACCTGACCGGGTCCGACGTAAGGAAAACAATGACACCTAGTCGCAGTAGAACTTCACTCCAGCAGCTATTCGCCATGACGAGAGCCATGTGCAGCATGGGCACCCATGCGCTGAGGATCCTGAGAGGGGTAGTGGATCTGACCAGGTGGTCTCATGCTCATTGGAGGGGGCATAGGTGGAGCCATGTGACCCATGGGGTGAAACATTGGAGGGCCAAAACCTGTTTGAGCAGATGAAAAAGCATATATTTTCTCAGTGTTTAAATAATTTATGTCATATAAATAAATTATTCTTTGCTCATATAAACGGTGTAAACGTATAAAACAGATCAGCATTATTCTTAGTGAGCATTGTATATTTGACATGTTACGGGTTTTATGAGAGTTTACCTGGAGGAGGCGGGTTGATGCCTGGAGGTGGAGGCAGAGCAATGTTCAGGACTGCAGGAGAGGTGCCGGGGTCCAGGTTGAAGTAGTTTGCTGGAGCTTCTTCATCCAAAGCTGGTGGTGGAGGGAGAGCTACAGCACAAAGAAAAATAGAATTTAAGAAACTAAATGACAAACTAATACATTTCAGCACACCTCCACCTCCAGGCATCAACCCGCCTCCTCCAGGTAAACTCTCATA